GCATTGAATGAAAAGGATGTTATTGAGAAGTTATTTCATTTTGGGGATCTGTTTATTTTAGAAAATTTACTTCCCAAAAGCAATGCTTTCTGGCAAGATGTATTTAAAACATGACTTGAAGTCATCAAATGTTTAATTATTGTAAAAACGTAAAAAATATTTTTTTTCAAATATCCCATTGTGGTACAGTTCTAATATCTTGGTTGGCAAATGGTCTGTTTTTATCAATGTTTTTATTATTACAATATTATGTTTTGGTATGAGAAAGGAATCAGAGTAATTGGAGAATTTCTAGATGGCGAAGGAAAATTTTGATGCTATAATTATTTATTAAAAAGATTTTCCGTCTCACAAACATATATAAATAAGCAGATTGTGCAATATAATAGTGCTCTTACTGCAGTGTCAAATATTTAAAATGTTTGTTTATTGACAAAGCCTTATCACAAAATCTTTTAATACAATTATGCCCTTTTATTGTGAATTGTTGTTCCAGTCAGAAAAATGTACTTAGCCAATTTACTGCATTTTAAACACAAATAGATTTAAACTTACATCTACATCAAACTGGATTGCCATTTCGAATATCTATGGGCAGTGTAGTCTTGAAGTACATCACGTTTTTAAAGTTTGTTTTAAAGTAACAAGCAATACAGGTGTTCAGCTGGCTGTGGTTTAGAATACTGCATAGGATTCTTTCTGTGGTTTACTATCTTAAAACAATAATATTAAAACAATATAGGGAAACAACTTATTGTGCTTTCAAATATAATGTTGAAAAATTGTTTCAATCCAAAAAAATAAAATTGTTGATTTTAATTCCATATGGTTTATATGGAAATCTGTTATTGATGATTGACAGTTCAAGTTTCAGTTACTATAATTGTTATTGTACCATTTTTATCTCTATTTTATTCTCATATTGTGGATAAAAGAATAAATGAATTTACCAATTCGGATAATATATGTACAGGTATAAGATGTTGGAGGAAAAATTTTGAAAATACATATATTTTTTTTTCTTTCAATTTTATCTTTTGATGGATAGTGGGTAGTGTGAAAGGGTGAGTGTGCATGTATATGGCATAAATGTAAACATGTTCATCTACTATCTCTTTGTTTATTAAGAGAAAATATAAATAAAAAAAGAAAAACAAAACTGAATAACAAATCCATGGCAAAAATGTATACATATTTATAACAAATCTTTTCCTGTACACAAATGTATTATGAAGTTGATTTTGAACATTCTGAATGTCGGGCGGCTGCAGTAAATATTTTCCTTATCCTTTTTCTGACGATAAACTGTTTAAGTACCGTAATCCTGTTTCCACTTACACGATACTTATGTTTGTCACAAGTCTTAAAACAAAACAGTTTATACTCAGAGGGAATAATGTCAGTTTCATTTCTGATTACAATTGTGCATCAATTATAACCCTTAATATAAATATTTGGAAGGGTGTATAGTTCAAAGTATAAACCAATGCAATATAAAATATATAGGGCTGTGGGGTTGGGGCATGATATTTTTTTCACTTTCTCATTTCACTTAGTTGAGGAATATTCATTTAACGTTTTATGATACACATTAATTCTTGTAAGGAGAGTTTGTATACAAACATGAATGAAAGCTGAGTAGAAACTAATTATTCAAAGTTTTACGCCCCATATTTTAGTTTGCGACGAGTATTTGCATAAAAACATGTACCTGTAAACTCCGCGATGGAAATGTACTGCTGACCTACCTATCCAAAAATTTTTATATCAATGAATACAAAACTTACACTTAGCAGTCTGTTATTAACCTGTCTTGATATACTTATTTTTTTTTCAATTAGAAACAAATATACACATTATTATCTTATGTTGCTTGTAAAGAGGTTAGAACATATATCAAGACTATATTTTTAATAGGCGTCGGAACCGTGGTTGCTAGGGGGTGGGGAATTTGGAGGGGGGCTTAACACCCCCTTCCCACTTTTTTCTCAACTATATACTTAGCTTACACATTGAACATTGCTGAGTATGTTTAGCCCCCCCTCCCCCCCCCCCCCGACTTTCAACAGACACGTCGCAATATAGGTTAAAAATGGGGAAAGTGGTGGTGTTTGGAAAAAAAATTGATCCGGTTTCGACCCCCCCCCCCCCCCCCCTTCACGAAAGAGGAGTTTTGGGTTTTGGAAATAGTTATTTCCTTTCTTTATGGTCAGGTTTTTTTTAAGGTATATTTTTTTTACACTAAGCCCCTCCCACTTTCAATTCCTTCAGATGACAATATTTCTAAAGCTAATTACTTAAATATTAATGTGTTGCTTCATTCTGTGTAGGAATCTGTTCTAGATAACTGTCTTCTTGTTAATTGATCTCTGATGTTTAAAACTAACTTTTACAAATATAATGGTATTAGTGCAGCTTATATTTATAATGCTTAATATATTAGTTTTATAAATGATTAAAATATCTGTTCTAGAGTCGCGGTGCAAGGCGTTGTTCCTTACGTCGCGTGTTCGATTTTCGCTGTGGGGTGTGAAGACTGATCCTTCGGACGACATCGTATAAAACGAGGTATCTTGTCGTCGTAGGTTGGCACAAAAAGATCCCTTACTGCTTAATGGTCGTAAGACAGATTTTGTCGTCTCCATGTGAGTGAAAAATGAAAAGTGACATACAAACAAATAAATCTTCAACAAACAAATTACAAGTAGGGAGAGTCAGTCAGTAATCGAGCAGGAGTTATCCCACCTGTGGTAGAGTAAATCAATCGAACAGCTCTTCCTCTATAGAAATGGTATAGCTGCATATCTTTTTAAGATAATGTCTCTTTAAGAAAAGCAAATCTTTGCATCTTTTATAAATAGTTTTTATTGTTTAAATGATAACTTGAAATGTAAAGCAACTGTGGTGATATTCTCAAAATTCATCATTTTTAGATACAGTATTGTATGAAATACAGGGAACAAACAGAAATGGCATAGAAAGGTCTTATTTGAATTATGAACATATTTTAGCTGAAGAAAGTATTTCAAAACTTGATATTCTGATACCATTTTCTTTGAAGTATCTAAATATACAATATTCTTTTCACTTGTGGTTCCATTTGCAATAATTACACAGCCAATTGTGCCTAACGTTAATTTAACATGAAAATAACGTTAATTTAACGTTAAATATTTAACGTTAAATTAGCGTCAATCGAGCTTATACATGAATTTAACGTTAAAAAATTAACGTTAAATTAACGTTATTTTCATGTTAAATTAACGTTAAACGTTAAATTAACGTTAATAGTTCACACTAATTTAACGTTAAATTGCATAAAAATTGTGTGCATATATTTGGAATTATCCTTCCTATTCTTCCAGAAAAATACATGTTCCTGCATCATGGCAGAAGCTTAACTGATACTACATGATTATATCATAATTATTCATTATCATAATTAATTCTCTAAAGGAACACCAGAAGCTCATCGATTTTGCACTTTTCCTTGTAGCACTGCAGAAAGCTAGGCTTGCATGTTGACTTCATCCCTGGTGTCACTTTTTTTTCAATTTGAATATATCCAAAAGGATAAACGGACCCATCAGCTCTTTCAACAAAATCTCTAAAATTCTGAGCATTGCCTCCATTTCAAATTTTCTGAAGAAAAAAGAAACACCAATTCATTCATTAATACTTTTAATCAGGCACATTCAATACAATGCTACAAATCTTCTTTCTTTTTTCAATCTGAAAAAGAAGAGAGGCAAACACATATATTATAATAATTATATGAAAATAAAATACTTCAGCAATACATTAACAACTCAAATTTGTCAAAAATATAATGAATGAAACAAGAGGTCCATTGGCCACATCCCTCACCTGAGCACATAAGCTAACTAAAAACACAGATCAGTTAAGTATTGAGAAGCTTACTTTATACTTATTGAGGGAGGGGGATTTGAATTTTCCATAACTTGAAAATGTTACTATTACAATACAGCATACATATATTATTTTGCCATACTTGAAAAGAAGACTTTTTAAGATTTTTCCAACACATTACCTGATCTCCCATTGTGACCCCTCGCTAACCTCCAATCCCATTATTTGAATAAATTTTAAATTTTTACTACTTGCAGATCATGTCAATTTGACAAAACAATTTTTTCTGTTCTGGAGAAGATTCTTTTTCCTATGTATTCTCATGCAAGTCTGTGATAACTCATGGTGGCCACACCCTAACCCCGGGGGTCATGATTTTCACAAATTGAATCTACATTTAATACCTATGGATGCTTCCACATCAGGTCATGAGATTAATCATTCCTGTCCCAAAGGTTCTTAAGAAGATTTTTAAAAGGTTTTTTCTTATGTATTCCTATGTAAACTTTGGTCGGCCATTGTGGCTCCATCATACCCCCGGGGGTCATGATTTGATCAAACTTGAATCTACACTACCTGAGGATGATTCCACATAAATTTGGAGAAGATTTTAAAAAGGTTTTTCCTATGCATTCCTATGTAAAACTTGGGAACAAATTTGAATCTACATACACTACAGGGGTCAAGAGGTCATAGATGTGTGTATCGATAAATGTTCAACGGAATTTCACAGTCACGTCATAAAGGGTCGACACACATTCAGTGTCTTGTTTACATACCATTGGTTTTGAAAAATAATGCAATGCGCACGTTAAAAGCCACAAAGAGCGTGATAAGACAAATATAAAGTACAAATAAGTTGCAAATGAAAATATAAGTGATAAGGTATCATAATGATTTTAAAACATCCAACGGGCTAAAAATACAGGTTGGTACTAGATTAAATTCATTATAATTCCCTTCAGGCTTTATGGAATTTTATCTTGTGAGTCATGACCAACCGATAGTTATGTCCGGATAGATGTTTAAAAATACCTTATTTCCTAAGTAAGACTGAAAGTCCATTGGGCCCCCCCCACCCTGGGTTGAAGAGGCTTGAAAATACACTATCTGAGGATGCTTCTATTTAAGTTCCATCTTTCCTGGCCCAGTGGTTCTTGAGAAGAAGTCAAAAATGTGAAAATTTTACAGAAGGACAGACAGACGGACGGACGACGGACAAAATGTGATCAGAAAAGCTCACTTGAGTTTTTGGCTTAGGTGAGCTTAAAATTTAGGGGTGACATATTAAATGGGTTTAAATATTTGATATGTGTTCGGAATAAATGCAATTTACCTGGTATTTTGAAGATTGCTTACGGTGATGAAATTTATTCACTTTCTTGTGATTATCATGTTCATGTCAGCAAGACTTTATACTGAGTAAACCTACAAAAAAAAATAATTAAAAATCATTCATTTGAAATGTATTATCTTCAACATATATGATGTTCATAGATAGAAACCAAATTTTATGTGCAGCGTCCAATTCAAAGCAAACTTTTAGTACAATGAAAGCAACTTGGCTTTAAATTTGTCTCTTTAGCATTAACTTTATATCAATTTATAAAATTTTTCTAAATAAAAATTATGAATACACTATGTATATACTATTTTATAAATAACCTTTGTTCCTGCATGGCTATCCTGAAAAACATCAATTCAAGGAGGCACCAAGGAGTGGAATATAGAGGCTGTAGTCTGCTCTTTTCTCCATGTCTTGCATACAAGTATCTTTTCTGTAGTATGCAGTAAAAGAAAAAAATCTTGATTCAATAATGCTTATAGAATGTTTCTGAACAAAATATTGACAAGTGTCAAGTAGTGACAAATACTAAACTGGTATTTTAAAAATTCAGTTGGTGTGTGTGAATGTAAATTTCACTGTCATTACATTTACTGTGGGAATTATTTACATTTTGTTCCACTTTGTTCCACTTTCAATACCTGTTTTGAGTTCCACTGGAATTATAATTTAGGCAGCTGGGTTCTTCCGAGTCTCGACGACAAAGTCCTATTTGATCCAATTCAGAAGTGCGAGTCAGATGTGATACCGAGTTCCAGCTGTTTAAAATACAATAAAAATATATACATCAAATCGCCTTTAATCGTTTTTATCTCTATAATGATGAAACCAATAAAGAGAAATGTTAGAATCAGGGAAAACATCGCTCACATTGCGTGTTTAACTTCAACTTCGAGATGGTTATTGTTAACTTGTACTGTACACAATTTCTACTTTCACTTTCGAATTTTCTCCGTATCGTACGTAGGGCGGCAGTACTGATGTACGGTAAGCTTCAGTGTTCAAACAAATAACCAACTGAACAATAAATAGACCTAATAAAAATAGTAATTCTGATATATACAAATATCCAACATTATTACATAGCAGAGATCTGGAACGTCGTTCACAGCCTACGACACAATGTAAGATTAGACTGATACTACAACGTATCGATAGCCTGCAAGGACTGTTGTGTTGCTGTACATAAAGTTCAAACATTTAGGGAGCTCTGAAATTATGAAACCTCAAAAACGTAATATTACAAAGACTACAAAATACTTACTATTAAGAGAGACTTGATAAATCCTTTTTCCTCTGTGTTTTCAATTTCTGTTAACAGCTGATGACGTCAAACATGACGTACAGTTTCGTCCGATAAAGACAAAACCGATCCTGAGAAAAGCTACGGACCATATTTAGCCGGAAAAAAATCCAAATCCAAGTTGACATTTTGAAAGAAAGACATAGAGCATATGATTTTTAAGTCTAGATAAATTACTTTTTTAGAATATGTATGAAAAAAATGGATGAGGTGAAGAGGGTGCTAACAGGTAGAGCACCCCCCTTTCCCAAACACACACCTGTAACACAACATTACACAAACACACACACACAATTTTGTCGGAAATACTTTTTGAACCTATATGGTATAATATTAACTCAACTGTTATCTTTATATATTGGGGTTAAAAATTTATTTCCGACACAAGTGCCAACACCCCCCCCTCCCCAACCACCAACCCCGGCGGTTTAGAGTATCCACATATGGACATCTTATTAATTAATTAATTGTCACTAAAATGATTGGCAAGTATTGTTCAAAGTTAGGTCTAAAATTTGAATAACAACATTAATATCGTGTTATTCTAATTAACATGAAATTAACATTAAAGAATTAACGTTAAATTAACATTAAATTCATATTAACATGAAATTAACATTAACTAATTAACGTTAATCTAATGTTAATATTTTGGTTCTAGTTTTTTAAAGACAGAACCCAAGCTCACTTAAAATTTAATGTTAATTTAATGTTAAAAATTAACATGAAATTAATGTTAAGTTAATTTAACGTTAAAAATTAACATGAATTTAATGTTAAGTTAAATTAACGTTAAAAATTAACGTTAAATTAATGTTAATATTTTTAATGTTAACTTAACACGAAAGTAACATCAAACTAACATCAAGCTAACATTAATTTAATGTTAATTGAGATTAACACTAAATTAACGTTAGGCACAATTGGCTGTGTATAGATTTGGTCATCGATATTAACTTTAAGTTGGTAAACCATATAAGCAGTATTTTAGGGAGGATTCAATTTTGGCATTATAAAAGAGTAAGTTAAATTAGCTTAAAAATATTTAGTAGAATTCATCTTTTATAATAAAAAAGCATGCATTGCATTATAAAATTACTGCTCTCTAACACTATTTTCTGGTTATTTTGCAGAAATCTACCTTGCATCTCACTAAAAATTCAACTTGCAATCCAGGAACTATGTAAATGGTCTGAAAACAGAGTTCTCTCTGTTACACTATTTTTTCTATCTTCTCAGTCAGGATTCGATAACTTTTCGATGGAATCATTTTGATTGAAGTTCTACAATCATTGCAACATTGGATATCAGGCAAGATGTTTGTTGCTGACAATATCTAGGAGGCAGGTAGGAGTTATGAATTAAAAATGGATAAACTCGCTATTACAGTATTTATGATACTGGGACTGGATCATACCATAAGCTTATTTAGAAGTATGTTTTCAACAGAACAAAAATAGACAGGAATATTACATATTCAATAACCTTAATCTATTAGCCATATAGTAAGCCAGCTCAGACAACTAGAACAATTATAACGTTTTTATTTTATAAACATTTTCATTCTTTTATTTACTACACCATGTATGAAATCGATTGCCCCCCCCCCCCCCTATGTTTACACGTAGAAATACAATTACAAGGGTTGTTTCGAAATTATTAAAGCGTAACTGATCAAAAAATATAATTTTAAAAAATACAAAAATAAGTAAAGAAACATAGTTAATACATTCAAATTAAAACTTTTCATACAATTTTGAACACGGAGAACACTTCGTTTCAACTAGTCCGAAAAATCTGACGTTTTCTGGCTTTTTTTACGATTTTGATATTTTACATGCCAGGAAAACGTAAGAACCGGCGCCATTACGAAAACTGGGAATTTCAACGTCTCCAACTGAAGTTGATTTTTCTATACTTGGGAACCGTATCAGATGCCGAAATCATAATTTATCAATGGCACAATACTACTAGAACTCACCAATAGCAATGAATAGAAATTACCACTCCACATTCCGATTCAGAACTTGCACGATTTTAAAATGCACGAAATGAAAACAAATCTCGACAGTCAATATTTAAAATGTGTTCATCGGATTATATTATTTCATAAACGACAGAAAAAACGATGTTGGTGAGTACTAAAGGTTTTGTACTTTTGATAAATTATGAATTCGGCATTTAAAAAAGCCAGAAAAACGTCAGATTTTTCGGACTACGTTTCATCTAATAATATGATTTTATCTTCTATGTAATGTGTTATTTAAATCTTTTGTATTTTCGTCCGAGTCGGAGAAAATTCCGAGAATCCAAATTAAATTGTGATATCTTTATAAAGCAATTGACTTAGATTTTGTTATTTACGGTAAATTTCTATCTTTATATAAAGTAATGATACAAATAATAAGTTCTTATAATTTTAGTCTTAATAATTTTCATTGTACATACGCCATATATGGCTTTAAGAACATATTTTTAATTAAGTAGGAAAGAGATAAATGTATGAAAATCGTTAACATGTTATCAAGAATAAATAAATCAAATGTGCAAAATTTGTAATAAATAGGAAAGGATATGTATCGATTAAATTATAAACTGAAATAAATCACATCATTATAACTTCACAGCAACTGTTGATATTTTCTTGTGATGGAAAAATTGGAAAGGTTTACTCTTTTCCACCTATCTTCACACAATCCTACAAATCAAATATTTTTTCTTTTCATATTGATGAACTTAGTTAGTTTATTTTATACCCAGAAGCAGAGGCTAATATTTTCAAAGAATAGTGCATTTTCACTAGATAATAAATAGAGTCCCGCCTTAATACCAGAACCCTTGATCCTGGACCCATGACATTAACAATTTTGGAAGAGGCACTCTTGCTCATCATACATGTAAATATGTGCTTAGTTAGTTTATTTATACTCAGAAGCAGTGAAGAAGATTTTCAAAAATTAATACATTTTCACAATATAAAGTACAGAGTCCAATCTTTTTACCAAAGCCCTTAACCATAGGGCCATAAAATTCACAATTAATGAAGAGGCAATCTTGCTTATCATAGGTGGTTAGAGTGTCTGCTCTAGAGTAGCGAAGTAAGGAGTCAATCCTTATGATGCGGGATTAAATCCCACTGCGAGACGTGGGGACAGGTCTTTCGGATGAAACCGTATGCACCGAGGCCCTGTGTCGCAGTAGGTGCTGGCACGAAAAAGATCCCTCAATGCTCAGAAGCCCTGATTGAGGAGCATAGGACAAAATTTGTAGTCTTCCACTGGTAAGTGGTGGAGTCTTCATATGAGTAAAAAATTATCGAGCGGGACCTTATCAATCAATCAATCAATCCTAACACCAGAACCCCTAACCCTTGTGCCATAAAATTCAAAATTTTCAAAGACGCACTCTTGCTCATCATAACCATGTACTTAGTTTACTTAATACACAGGAACAGATTTTACGTATTTCCACCATATAATTCATATCGCTCCGCCCTAACACTAAAACCCCTGATCCTGGGGCCATGAATTTTACAATTTTTGTAGAGGACTCAAAGCTCATTACATTTATGCCAACAGTTTGTCTGCTTAATGTCCAGGAGTAAAGAAGAACATTTTTAAAGATTGCAATTATTTTAGTATTATTACTAACGCCAGGGGACAGGAACCCATAATTCATAGTTTCTGTTCTTCTTCATCCATAGATGCTATATACCAAATTAGGTTAAAATTGGTTCAGTGGTATTTGAGAGGAAACTGAAAATGTTGAAATGTTAAAATATAACACACGACACACAAAGCATGCCAACGTACGAAAACGGATAGCAATAGGGCACCTGAGTAACTCACGTGACCTAAAAATAAAACCCAACCAAACAAAAATAAAAGACAACAACAACAAAAAGCCTTCCTTGTATTAAAATAATACATATTATAAATGTATTTTCAAAAACAGTAGGGAGCTGAGGAATATTTTATCTCTAAGCAAATATTTGTATCATTTTGTAAAGCCTTTCTCATGTTAAAAAAATTAGTTATTCTGAATAATAAACAAGAAATAAGAGTTGGGAAGTAATTATTAAAATCAATGATACATTCTATATTGATTGATTGATTGATTGTATATTGTTTAACGTCCCTCTTGAGAATTTTTCGATCATATGGAGACGTCACCGATGCCGCTGAAGGGCTTCAAATTTAGACCTATACTCGGCACTCAGGGCCATTGAGCAGTGAGGGTTGTTTATCGTTCCAACGCCTACCGTGACACGGGACCTACGTTTTTAAGGTCATATCCGAAAGACCCGTGACTTTCACTTCTAGTGCCGAGAGCTTGGCGAAGAAACAGTCACTACCTTTGTTTACGTCTTAGGTATGACGCGGCGCCGCGAACGAGAATCGAACCCGGGCCTCCCGATCACGAAGCGAATGATCTACCACTAGGCTACCGTGACCGGTCATTCTATATTGATGTTTAATAATTTTCTTTTAAAATTTAATGTTTGATCGCTGTGGAAGATTGATTGATTGATTGTATGTTGTTTAACGTCCCGCTCGAGAATTTTTCACTTATGTGGAGACGGCACCATTTGTCGGTGCAAGGCTACAAATTTTGTCCTCTGCTCGGTACTCAGGGCCTTTGAGCAATGAGGGATCTTTTTAGTGCCAGCACCTTCTGCAACACGGGACCTCGGTTTATACTGTCTCATCCGAAGGACGGTCTCCATGCCCCGCAGTGGGATTCGAATTCTTACGTCGCGACTCTAGAGCAGACGCTCTAACCACTGTGCCACGCGGGCGA